TGGCAAAGAAAATTAATAGGATCTCTTAGAAAATAAATGAATTTATATAGTCCTAGAGATATGTGTGGCGAACATGGATAGCAGGTCTTGGTAGGTTCGGTAATAATAATAGATAAAAATAAGTTTTTAATGCTATATAAAAGCAAATCTCTCCTAGAGATCAATCCATACCGCACAAATGACGCCATTTCATATGAAAGCTATAAAATCTGCGGCTAAAAGGCAAATTAAAAATAACTAAGCTTATGCACCAAAAGCAAATGCTTTCGAAAATAGTGTGATATAAATCTTATCAGATGTGAATATAAAAATAAATTTTTCCCTACGATTAACCTGCATAGGCCGAATTAAAATATTATATAGGACAACAATATGGTGATTTTAGTTATATAGCTTCAAGTTAGTCATCAACGGCGATGAATCAAATTTAAAAAAGGTATAAAGACCTTCGAGAATGTGTCTATTTTAGGTAACATGGTTAAGCGCCAAATAGGGGTAGGAAAAATATATCCGTAATAAAAGTTAAAACCTTAGGCAAATCTCAAAAAGCAGTGCCGTGGGGCATTAAATACAACAATGAAAAATATCAACAATGTATTAGCCCAAGCTTATTTGTATGAATTGAGTTCAGCTAAGATTAAACACTCGACAACTTAATTTAAACTTACTATCGTATTGAAAAGGTCTCTCCTTCAGATATGAATCAATTAGACTTGGCAGCCAGGGAACATCAATTAGCCCCAACTGAATTACTCCGTGAAAATCAGTTTGAAAGCTCAGATGCACTATTGGTATTTCGTGTTCCCCATAATCTTCCGTCTTCTCTATCCTATCTAAATGAAAACCTTGATTGATGACCTCTTGAAGGTTCGAACAAGAATGGGGATGGATAGATGAACGGACTTCTCGTTTAAGAGTATAAGTGGGTTTTTCCTGAACTAGATTGCTTTCTTGATCTCTATTTTGATCACAACCCATAGTATAAGTTGACATATTCCGTTCATCACTTGGGTCGACACTATCTACATCAGATAACATTTGATTGGGTTTCCTCCTCTTTGGTGGAGATGAAACCGAATTCTTATCTTTCTGTAATATTGTCGTGGCGGGCGGCCGACGTAAGCTCTGACGCTGATCAGTCGTAAGGCGCATCGAGATTGAGGGTAAAATATAGAGAACCTCAGAGTCGGTAGGTGGCTTCAGAGGGTTTGTTCTATTCGGTTTAACAACAAAAGTCGTGGGTTCATTGATCGGTGGGCCACCGAAGCTACCTGGCCAGCCTGGGCCAAAGGATGAGCCTCCAATCGGAATGGTGGTCAATTCTGAGGTGATCTCAGGGACTTCTCCATTCCTATGAGTAATTTGAACAGATCTAATACAGGAAGTAGAATCCGGGGAGAAAAAATCCCCTTGAGATGAATGGAGATGGTTTATGTTCATAGATGGATCCGGCGAGGTCAGAGGAAAAGTTTCGCAAGGATTGGGCATACCGCAGGAAGGGAGTGGCTCGGATATGACACTAGGAGGTTGGGTAGGGACTGAGCTACTTGATTGCAGAGAAGGCCCAATAGACGTAGAAGTACATTGACCAGAGGGAGGTTCATCCAAAAGATGAGCATTTGCAGATGGAATTGTGAACATTACAGGGAATTGCGAGACTAAAAGTAAAAGAGAAACAGTAAATGACGTATAATTAAACTGCACGAGACAGTAATGGATTTATATGAGAATGCACACTCCAATTAAAGTTTACGGTAGAATCAATAAAATAAACGGGATTAAATCTCTCAGAAAGAAATTTTGCTAGGTGAAATAAAACAATCCTACGGTATATGGCTTTAGAAGCTTAAAAATAAGATCAAAGACATGAAAATAAACCGAGCACAAATCTATGATTGCCGCAAAACAATCAGGAATATAAAATCTAATTGATCTTGAAGAGGGACTTAGGGTGATGTAAATATGTAGAACTTCCCAAAGTGAAACTAATAGATTTCACATTGCTATTATGGTCCAATTAGCCTTGCTTCAAGAAAAGTTTTCTCACCTGAGGTGGACCGAAGCTTCAACCTCACCTGGTTTTTAGCATCCCCAATGGGGTTCGACATCGGGTAGTTTACACTAGGCCATATAGCCACGAGTACCAATAGGCTACATGAGGGCTACTTATTTTATTATGGGAATATCTATACAAAATCCTTACACTATCCTGGCAAATAGTGAGTCGGTTGTAAGAATAATTGATAATGGCGACCAAAGCACCAGCGAAAAATATCAATGTTTTAGTTTAATGCAATGAAAGTCAGATGAGGAGATAACAAACGCTTATAACAGCAGTGTTATTTTAATAACATTATAGTACTGCAGGAAACAAACATTACAGAGAGGACAGGTAATACGAATAATCCGAAGCGCAGAATGTTCTTACATGCTCATTGTATATCAAAAAAGACAGTCCTATCTAAAGCCGAATTATAATAAATTAATTTAGGCCTTACTTTCCCTAAAAATACA